TCCTAAATTCCATTTGTTCTTTGTTATTTCAAAAATGGATATATTGTTGAATTCCTACCAATCATCAATAATAATTACCGTAATTGCTATATAACTGTAGTTTTTCGTTTATTAATTATTATAGTTACGTTGACATTTAATTTTGATTATTTAAAGTAATAATTGAAGAGTGATTATTTAAATCCCTAACTTCTTAGCACTGTTTCAAGAACCACACCAGAAACCATCACGGAGAATGATGGATAAAATGTGATATGATAAAAGAGGGGTGGGTAAGATTTGATGAATACTCTCTCTCTGTTATTCTTATTTCTATAAAAAAAATTATTTCCATTTTTTATTTCTTAAGTTTCCTTTCTGTATTTAAAGAACACCTGCGTTGCAATGCTCCTACTGTCACATAGAAATTATAAATTGTTTATAATAGCTTGATTCTTTATATTTACATAACTTACTTGTTTATGCCAGGGAGATTTTTATCATTAATTTATCCTAGATTATATGATGTGTTGATATGAGAGAGGCGTGTAATGAAAATTTATATTTTTAAATATTTTAGTTTTTTTTTTCAATGTATATGTTATAAAGATATTATAAATTAACATAAATCTTATTTTAATTATTTTCTTAATAATTATAATTAAGGGTTTAAAGATGTATAATTGAAATTAATATAAAAATAACATTAAATTGATTTTTTTCCTTAATTTTTAGATTTAAAAACACTTTTTAATATCAAATAAATATCAATTTAATAAATAAATATGAATCAGGGTGATGCAAAGCATTAAATATATAAAAGAATAATATATATATATATATATATATATATATATAAAAAATAAAAACTTCGATAAATTAGTATAAAGTTAAATAAGTATATGTTTTACTACATTCAGTTCTATAATAAAAATTATACCCATTCATGATTACTTTAGAGGGACAATTATGGGTGAAGGTTGATCCCACATTAAAAACTTATAATAGGATGTTTTCTAACTCTGATAATTTGGAATTTTTCTATCCATGCCAAAATTCTGGTCAATTTGTATTCTAGTTCACAAAAAAATTCATTGTGTTTTAAGTGATTAGACTTTTAGCTCAACACTTTCTATTTAAGCAAGTTTCTTTAATTTCTTTATCTAACTAAAACAAAATCATCGTGACAAAATCATCGTGGGAATACATCATAATGTTATATTTATTTAAATTTTTAAATAAAAACAAAAAAGAAACTCTAATAATTAAATTATATAAATAATTAAAATTAAAAGATATAATGTAATTGGCTCAAATCTATTAAAACTACTTATTTGATTATCTTGTTATATATTATTAATTATCTTTCATTTGATATAATATCTTCTATTAGTTATTATCTTTTGGACTATCACTTATTATCTCTTGGACTATTAATTATTATATTTTAGACTATTATTATCTCCTAAGTCTTATATAAGGAGACTCAGCAAGTGAGTAAATCTCACACCTCATAGCATCGGAATGCACTTTGCATGAGTATATGCTCTTTCCAAAATGAAGTCATTCAATATTTTCGAAGTTGAAGCTCGAAACATGATTCATCGATCTCCTCAATCCAACCTCACACCCTTTTGTTGACATTCTCCGATCCGGTAAGAACATTTGGTGGCCACCGTGGGATCTGATAAAATGATCATCATGATCTCTTCCACTCTATGGTTTTAACCCACATATAAATGGTGTCTAACTCCAACGACGACATGGACTCTTGCAAGAACAGAATGATGCTAGGCTATCACAAATCCAACAAAAAGCGCTAAAGAATTGTAATTAACCTGAAGCCAACACCAAGTCGAACTTCAAACTCTAAGAGATGAAATAAAGGTTTTAATTCAACAACATCAGACAGGCCACGTATAAACCAAGAAAAAATTGTCACATCCGATCAAATGCGAACTCAACAGCCACTAGCACCAACCCACAAAACCCAGACCAAACTAGAAGTCAACCTACACACAAATCAGAAAATCCACCTAACCCATGTGATAGAACATCAAGTCAAAGGAGGTGGAGCCACTTGAGGGAGAATGTCAGACACAAACACACTAATAAAGCAACAATTCAAATCCCTCATTCGAGAGAATATATAATGGAAGTCCCACTCCGACTTTGACCCACACGTTCCCAACGTACACAAAGGATCAAAATTCATAAATAAGATAACGATAACCTATTTTTTCCAAGAATCATGGAGACACATCTCCCACCTAACTGGGAGCCACTGGACATAGAGAAATACAATGACTCAACAGATCCAGAAAAACACTTAACAATGTACAAAACACAGGTAAAATTGTATATCAATAACGGAGTTATACTTTGTCGAGTCTCCCCACCATGTTCAAAGGACTAGTCCTAGTCTTACTATGGTACAACTCTTTACCCTATAACTTTGTTTATTCATATTATACGCTAGCAGAATGATTTCGAACTAGATTTGTAGTCAGTAATAGGCACGAAGCCACGTTAGTGGCTTTAAAAAGCGTGAATCAGGGTGAGGGCGAGTCCCTCTGTAGTTTCATGGATCGATTTGTCTGAGTATCAAACACAATACCAAATCTACAACCTAATGTGGCTCTACACACGATACTAGTTTCTTTACAGCCCAGACCTTTGATGGACAATTGTTTCGCTTATCCACCGAGGACCCTTGATGAACTGCGGGTTCAAATAGCCAACTACATCCGTATCGAGGATAACAATGCGAGATATAAGAGAACAAACATTAGTCCTCATATACACTCAACCCTTCCAAAAACCTAGGACAGCTAAATACGAACATTGTACACCCCTAAATACCAACTGATAGATGATTCTCCGAGAGGCTTTCAGTCTGAAACTTGTACACGCACCTCCACCAACGATTCTCCAAGAGGCTTTCAATCTGAAACTTGTACACGCACCTCCACCAGTACCGACCTTAACCCATGCAATTACAACCAAGTATTGTCGATTTCATCAGAACTATGGGCATACTACTGATGAATGTCAAAAGGTTTAAGATATAATTGAGAAACTCATCTGATCTGGTTATCTTACAAACTTCATTCGTAACGACTCAGAGTTGTAAAACTTATTTAAAAAATTATACATTACTCAAGTTAACATGAGTATACAAATTGTACCTTACTCGGGCTCACATGAGTATAAGAATTATACATTACTCAGAGTAACATGAGCATAAAAGTTGAATCTAACTCTTAGTCACAATATAAAACTATTACCACGAGCATAAAACTACTATCCTACTTAAGGTCACACTAGTATAAAACTATTACCCTACTCAGGATTACACAAATAATACATACCTTACTCAAATATATGAGTTATCAAAACCTGCATCTACCTTACTCAGGGTCACACGAGTTATACTTTCCTTATTCAAGGTCACACGAGTTATGCATACCTTACTCTGGCATACAAGTTATCAAAACTTGCATTTATCTTACTTGAGATCACACAAATTATACATATCTTACTTTGGTATACGAGTTATCAAATATCTTTGCATGACAAATAAATAAGTTTTACTACATGAATATATAGGTCTAATTGAATAATTGTTGATAGAATAAATATGTTTAAACCACACACTACTCGATGAAGTGATTAATTCAACCTTAAACTCATTTAACTTCTATTCCTAAAGGAATTCGCCATTCGACCTTGGGGAACTTGTGTACCTACCCAACCAAAATCCATTAAAACTACTTATTTAATTATCTTGTTACATATTATTAATTATTTTTTATTTATTATAATATTTTTTATTAGTTATTATCTTTTACACTATCTCGTTATTATCTCTTGGGCTATCAGTTATTATATTTTGTGTTATTATTATCTTTTGAGTACTATATAAAGAGATTTAGGAAGAGAATAAATCTCACCTGATCACTCATTAAATGTCGAAGTATCTTTTACAAGTGGACATATGCTCTTTCTGAAGGAAATCATTCAACATTTTCGAAATAAAAAACAAAGTCGAAACTCAAAACACAATCCACTTATCTTCTCCGTTCAATCTCACACTATCTTATTGATCCTCGTTCTTTTCGATAAAAATACATAAAATATGATAAATGATGAAATATTTTGACTTTTAATTTTGAGAAAAAAAAGTATTGATTACATAAGATTATTTTGATAAAATAAAACAAAGTTGTCGCATAATATAGATGTTCCTAAAATAACCGTGCTATTAACATGTACTAAAATATTAACGATGTTTAAACTCAAGTAAATTTAACTAATTTGATTTTATTTAATGTTATTATCTCTAAAACATTTTTTATTTAACTTAGTTTATATGTTACTTTTTATTCCTTGACATGATGTTTTAATGATGAAAAACTTATAATTTTTTTCTTAAAACTAATTAAATTGAATAATTTTTATAGGCAAACATATATTTTTATAGTTTTAAACCATTAAATAAGAAGTTATAACATTTGTATTAATAGTTTTACTTTGTCAGAGATTGTTTTCAAATAACAAAATTAATTCAGTCCTAAAGCATTTATTAACATGGTGCTGATATGAATGAAGTTATTAGAACTTTTTGTAGTGAATCTAATCATTGAATTGTGAGTGAAGTTATTTCCGAAAGGTAAATAAATAATAATAATAATAATAATAATAATAATAATAATAATAATAATAATAATAATAATAATAATAATAATAATAATAATAATAATAATAAAAACCCTACAAAAGTGATAAACAGAATCCACCAAGTCCAAAACAAGATTCACATATTGAATACCTTGTACATGAATTTCATAAAATAATAACAAAGGAGTGGGTAACAAGAGAATTATGTTAAAAAATATCACTAACATCACTCTAAAGAATGAAACAAATACAAAATGATAAATAAGGCTAGTCCTTGAAAAGGTGAAGAACCCTAATTGCTAAGAAAAGGAATAACGTGCTACAAATGTATTTTATATCCACTAGCAAGGAATACAATCTATGAACCATCTAAGAACTTTAATTGGAAACTTTACAAGACCCACACCAACGTTGCTCAATTCTCCACAACCTTTGCAACATGGACACAAGCAACTCAATATTGACCTGCATTGCCATACCCAAAATTATGCATAAACAATCATACACGTAAATGTTGCAACTTTATCTTAAAAGTAACTATTTTATAAATTAAATTAGTTTATTTATGAAGTAATTTATATAAATTAAAAATAACTATTCTTATATACATTTTCTTTATTTTTTTATTTTAAACTTATATATATAAACTAATTTGATTTTATTTTTCTCTTTTAAGAATATCTACGCATAAATTTCAATCAAACTCTAACCACTGAAAGGCCATGCGAATTCTTATATGGACTTTATTTAGTTATTAAATTCATCTTATATATGAACCAATGAGAAAGAGAAAAAGAGAAGGAAAGTTAGGATAAGAAGAGAAAAACATAGAAAGTGAAGAGAAAATGGAAAAAGTTGAGTACCCAAGAAGCCAGATGATAGCACCCACAGGACAAAAAACCGATGAAAGCAGAGCGAAGGGTGATCCAATCACGAAACCCAATGGTCTGCACTCGCAAAATTCACCTTCCATGCTTCTCTCTCTCTCTGCAGTGACTCTGAAATTGGAGTGTTTGTTTCTCTGCGATCTGAATCTGAAGAAGAAGAAGGAATGAATGAAGAGAAGTGAAATTGGTTCGTAAAAAGAGTGTTGATTTGGATGTAACTTGGTTGGAAACCCCACCGTGACGAGAACTCCAATGACTTGCTTTTATTCTCAGTTGACCTTCGCTTCCTCATTTCTTCCATTACTTTATTCACTCTCATCCATCCTCTATCATTAAATATAAGAATATAATATTTCAAATTCTCTTAATTATCCTTCTTTCTCTATTATTTTTTATCTAATTTATCATTTTGAACTTTTAAAATAACTATAAAAATGTCCTTCAAACACATTTTTTTTACAATTAATGAATTCGTGTAAAATACAATATATATTATTTTGCATGTTAGTTTTTAATATATATATATATATATATATATATATATATATATATATATATGTGTGTGTGTGTGTGTGTGTGTTAACGTTGACAAAAAAATTATATATTTATTTTAATTTCACAATGAAATTGGTATTTTTACAGATATATTATTTTATTTTATTATTATTTTTATGATTTGATATAATTATTTTTTAGTATTTCAATATTAGAATTTCATAAGGATTATAAAAATAAAATGCGGCTATTTTTTTAATATACAAATTGAATAAAAAATATATTTTGAACAATATTCTCTGTTTATTAATATAAGATGTAGTTATACCAATGGATTATTTATATAATTTTCTTAGTTTTTTCTAACGATACCTTTTAAAAAAAGTTATCATAACTTATTATCTTTTTTGTAATAAAGATAATTTAAAAAATTAAAATACTGATAAAAAATAGTTGCTATAATCTTAAATTTATATATAACAAACAAAATATTTAAAAAAAGATAATTACGTATTTTATTTTACATTGAATAAATGAATTAAAATTAAAAAAAATGATCTCAAATTTTTAAGGATTTTTAACTAAGGTTTTAACACAAACTTATACCCCACTCTGCAAAATTCAATTAAAGGTAATCTACTTTTCAATACTTGATTTGGTGTGAGATTGAATTGTTTCAAGACACGAAATATTCATTTTGCGTGTACTGAGGCTTAAAATAAAGAAGTAATAACAGTGGAAATATGAGTTAGATTGAATGAAATATAACCTAACCACACAAGTGTCTTTCGAACATCATTTTTAACGCACAAAAGTTCCAAATTTCCATGTCAATTTCTTAAATAACGTTTGAGTTACGTAAAGGAGCTTTCAATTGACGCGTATTCAAACACGTTGTTAGGCGCCCATAGTTTTGCACCAAGCAAGTACACCTTAAGACTCTGCATTTACATATAAGTGTTTTTAATGTTCATATAAAATGTTTCAAAAAAAAACAAACACTGTGTCAGAAGAATAAAATTTTTGGGAGTGGAAATGGATGGATTTAAAAGGAAACGAAAGATGAAATTTAAGTTGTTTGAATTAATAAAAAATGGATTAAAAGTTAAGATAAAAATTTGTAAGTGATATAATTAATTTCACAAAGTAACAAAAAAAATTGATAAGATTATAAGATTCTAATGTTATCGAATAAAATAGTGTGACATTTTTTTTTCTTATTATTATTTGCATAAGAGTAACAAGAAAAATAATATATATATATATATATATATATATATATATATATATATATATATATATATATAAAAGTAACTTACATCAATATACAAAAGAATAATGAATTTTATTTTTATTCTTTTTATTTTTTTCTACAATTTTACAAATATTTATATTGTCGATGGAAAGAAACTGATTAAGGAATTTTGGAAAAAGGTAGAAGACATACAAAAGGTAATCACTACTAGTCCATCTAACATAATGAAATTTCTCATATCAAATACAAATGTTATTATTGATAATCATGTCCCTCTAAAAGTAACTGAGTTGTCTATAACATTTGTATTCCAAGTAGTTCCTGGGAAGAAGACAGTGATGCTTGCAGAAAAGGGATTTGGAATATTTGGCGTCTCCATCTACTTAAGTTTGTGTTTAAATAAAACATGCACAAAAGATCACAATATGGAGTGAAAACATTTATCATTTACAATAATACAATCTTATATATATGTTTCAACACATTCTATTTTATGAAGATTTAAAATTAAATTTGTAGTGACTAGTCAGGATAAATGAGCTCAATATTAATCACTCTCACAGTTATTTACTCATTTAAATCCTCAAGGTTCAACCTCCATCTACAATATCATCAAATCTTCACAAATAGATATTATTATAATTGAATAATATAACTATAAATTAATAAATAGGATCGCTACATTACTAGAGATAAAATAAAGTAAACAAATAGGACCAAGTACATAACTGGAGATAATTAAAATAGGACCGAGTGAGATAAAATAAAATAAACAAACAGGATCAGTACATAACTGGAGATAATTAAAATAGGACCAGTACAAGACTGGAGATAAAATAAAATAAACAAACAGAACCAATATATAACTGAAGATAATTAAAATAGGATCGATGACAAGACTGGAGATAAAATAAAATAAACAAACAGGACCAAGTACATAATTAAAATAAGATTAGTGCAAGACTAGAGATAAAATAAAATAAACAAAAAGGATCATTACGTAGTTAGAGATAAATAAACAAATAATTAAATAAATAGAATGAGGTTAGAGACACCTCACTCCACAACTATAAGCAAAATAAAATAAATTTAATAATAATATTCTTCTCCCCTACTTTAAAAACTGCAAATGAGGTACCAAAATTTTGCAGAGAGACAATTTTTTTTCTCTCTTTCTCTTTCTCTTCCTCCCTCTCTCTTTCTTTCTTTCTCTTTCTCTTTCTATTACTCTCTCCTTCTTTCTCTTTCTCCCTTTCTCTTTCTATTTCTCTCTCCTGCTTCTCTTTCTCCCTACCGGTCCTTCCCCTTCCCTTTTTATAGAATTTTTTATTTATTTATTTAATTACGTAATCATAAATACGAGTAATTATGATTTTGATAAGGTTTATCTTTTAAGATAAAATAATGTTTATCTTTTACATTAATTTGAGATGTTACAAATATAATTATATAAATAATATTAAAATTAAATGGGATATATTATTTAAAATATAAATATTTAAATATATGAATTTATATTAAAATAAAATACAATTGTGGAAATTAATTTGAAATAAATGTTACATAATTTATTTAAATAAAATAAAAATGTAAAGTTAATTTAAATTAAAGTGACAATAATTTCTTAAAAAATGTAATATTCATATCAATTATGGAGTTGATTATTCAAAATTGTAATTTAATACAAATTTGTTTTATTAGTTAAGTAAATTGTTTTGGTATATGTCAATTAAATAAATGATTAAGAATGGATTTTGATAAAATAAATTTCAGCCTAAATTCTAAAATTATTGAAAATAAAATTATAAATAATTACAAAGTTAAAGAAATAAATATTAAAAGTTGTTATCATAATTTGTTCGTCATAAATCATAATAAATATCAATAGAGTGATAAATAAATAAAGTCATTAAATTTATTGAAATAAGTCATGAAAGTCGTTAAATCATTCCTCCAAACGATTAATTTTAGTAGTAACACTATTGAAACCTTCACTAACACTAGCATTCTTTCACCCGATCGGAGACTACCCGACAACATTTTAATCGGAGAATTCTATATGTCTTGGAATAGATTGATATAGGTATTTTATGTTTGTAGAGGCTTAGTCAAAAGACAACTTTCAAAGACTATTTTCACTGATGCATGTTTATTTTACCTCACATTTATAAATTAAATTAGGTCAATTGCATGCATTCTTGTAACATTTAAACAATGTTTTCATGTATTACCGTTGCATTTAACTTGTAGTGTAGTTTCTTTATTTTGTTGGAAAAAAACAGGTACATTTAGAACAAATTTGGTGGGGCTTGTGTGACTGACATCACTCATAAGCTGGCATTAGAATCCTTTTTGCTATTGGGCTTGGGTTGGAAAAGGAAAAGGCAAGAGCAGCTAAAAGAAGGGCTGACGTGGAAAGAAAAAAGGAGATAAAAAGCAGAGAAAGAGTTGAGACCGGGGGGACAACATACACAAAATAACAGTTTTTGTTTTTAGTTTTTTTAAAAGTTTGTATGGAAGGCTAAACTTTTCCCCTATGTTAGAGGATTGATGTAATATTCTGTAAGACAAATTCTGAACCTATTTAATTTGATACAGTGTAATTTCATTTACTATAGTATCTTATCTATGGTTTTTTATGTTTAATTTTAAGCAGTTATATTTGGGAAAATTGACATTGTTTATGTTGTTAGATAAGGTAAGTTAGGTTTTTGTTTAATTGGAAAATTACACAAACTTAACTAGTGTTTGTGGAGGAGATTATTAATCATTCAAGATTCAGTGAATTTTTCTTCTTTCAAGGGATTGGAAAATTAAAAGTTCAGTGAATAATTTTACTTACCCAAGGGATTAGGAAGTGAATAGAATTTTTAACTCTAGTGGGTAAATTTAATTTTTGCATTAATTAAATAAGTTAGGAATTTGTAAGAAGGAATATGAAATCAATCCTCTAACATATATTTTACTGCAAAGAAAGTTAACTTTTTTGTTGTCACTCTTTAGCTCTTTGATTATCCAAAACTTTGATTACTCAAACTTAGGAAAAATTAATAATCTAGTATTCAACAAATATTCAATCCTTGAGGACGATAAAATGGTTACTTATGTAACAAATTGGTCCACTTAACAAATTACACATCATTCACTTGCTTAAAAGCGCCTCACTATGCAAAGAATAACCCATCAAGGTAGATGAAAGATCTGCCAGAGTCTTGATGTTAAACAAACCCCTCCCCTGGAAGACGAGCACCTTTGCACAAAAGCTCGTTCTTTGTTTTCTAATTTAAAGAGGAAGCTTTTTTATTATATTAGATTCTAATAGGGATTAGGTTCAATTAGCTAAATCATCTTTCATCAGTTGCATTCTTGCTTGCATGTCCTGAATCCCCTTCTAAATTTGTGATAACATTTGACCATTATGGGGAGTGAATGTGGTTGCTAGACTAGTTCATGGTAAGTCTTGTTGTCAATTGTCATCCATATCATCGTGAGGTATTGTAGGATCTTCATCGTCATCATTTTCATCTTCCTAGTTGAGCCTTCTATGTTACCACACAATATTAACATTGACAACATTTAATTTGTTCAACATTATTTTACTAAAGTAATGAGTTGAACCCAAGAATTTGAGAGAATCCAACTTCAAGTCCACGCCACAACGAATCATTATGTTTGTTATGAATATGGCGTATAGAAGATGCATGTTACTGCTCTTGCATTTCAACATGTGTTGCACAATATGATGCGCCTAATTAATCGAAATATTACTTGTCAATGCCCAAAACATAAAGATATCTTCTTGTATCAATTTTGTAAAATTTGTCTGAGAAGTCAACATATGAACAAGGACATAATGTAGGAGTTTGTCATTGATTTGCAAACTTTCTGCATTTCTCACATTCCGACATTGGATCTCTGGTATGAGCATGAAGTTCAATGTCATTTCTTGGTTGTACTCCATGTCTTCAAATATAGTAAAAGATGATAGCTTGTTACCTTCATATTTAAGATTAGTCAGAGTTAACCAACCCACAGGACTTATTTTGATCTTTGTTTTGTTAACCTCACTGTACATATACCCATGTTTTCTGATGTTCAGGTTTGTGTAAAATACTCAAGCCAGCTCCTCGTAATATTCTGAATTTAGCATACAAAAATGTATCACCCCTTGAAATTGTATATAATGATGGAAGTGCAACCCTGATTTAGTGAAGAACAGGAAATTCAATACTTTTTGGCTTAAAACTTTCCTCTTGTTAGATGAGTTATTAACCTATACCATATGATCATGTGTGTTAAACCAACGAGTCAAATTTAATATGTTTTCAACATCCATATGTTGTGTAGGAGGAACTCCATGATCAGATGCAGTAACTTTTTTTTTTTGCCTTGTCACTTCATTTTCTTTTAGTCGAAGAAAAGGAATTTATGCCTACAAATATAGCAAAATATGATAAGTGTGAATAGAAAGCAAAATACAACATAATGCAATTAATCATAAACTATAAATGAAAAAATAAATTGAAATTCAAGTACATGACATAAATATTTAAAAAAGTGTCTCATACATAGTATTACAATATTACATATTTAAATAACTATAACTCACTAAAATAGTTTTCAACCCTATTACAAAACATCATCCCCGATTTTTGAATATCATGCCAATTAACTTGTTCAAATGACGTCCCACTGGCATCCCAATAGGTGCTTAGTATGTAACAAGTTTTCACACAAAAAAGATGTAACTATTGGTTCATTATTTGTTCATCATCAATCTGTATGTCAAATAATAATTGGTATATGTCAATTTCAGAGTGTTGAAAGTTTGTTGACCTTAGGGGTGTTAATATGGGTTATAGTTCGTGAGCCAACCGGGGTCACCATGTATTCGAGTTGAGTTGTGTTAATTTTTCATTTCTACCAATAATGGGTTAAAAATGAACTCAACTCATTTAACCCACGGGTTAAACAAGTTTGAACCGAAGTTATGGTGAGTTGACCTGCAACCAACCATTAATTTTAAATTTTAAAAATAATTATAATAATTTAGTAATTCTAATTGATGTTATCCTATTTTTCTTGTTGATGAAGAGGGAAGATATTTGAAAATTCTCTTTCGATGATGTCAAATGATAAATATGTAGTTAGTTTGTATAAAACCAAAACAATCTAAACTTTGAAAGTAAAAATAATCAAATATGTTAAAACTGAAGCGCTAATAATTAATTAGATAAAGAGTTAATCGATTATATGACTTAAAATTAAGTTTTTATAAGACGCGCTAATAATCGATTATGTGGTCACTTAATCGATTATTTGCCAAAAATTTTGTTTTAACACAACACACTAATAATCGATTATGTACACCTAATCAATTATCTGACTATTTTCAAACTATCACTACACTCAAATAATCGATTAGATAAATCTACTAATTGATTATCTGTAACAGTTACAACAATTTTCTTTCTATAAAAGGATGTAAACTTTCTTCTATCAATATTAACTTTCAAATACAAATTAAAACAATTAGAAAGAACGTTTTGGGCATCAAGGAAAAAGCGTAATTCTGCAAAATACTTTGAATATCAAATTCAAAGAAAGGTTGTTTGGCTATAGGGTCCATTATTCTGTAAATCCAAGGTGAATTCGTTTCATATCTTTCTTTTGTATCTTATTTTTAAGTTTTGATGTATGTGATGTTAGCTACATCAGTTTAACTTGAAAATTGTGAGGTAGAACATTTTCAAGTATTGTGATCTTGATTAAAGGTTGTTGTAAATCAAGATCATTTGATTAGATTATAATATGCTTTAATGTGAGAAACTTCACGCTAAGGTTGCTTGGTTAAAACTAAATGTAGATTCAAGAAGAATCGAACCAATATAAATTTGCGAGTCTTTTCTTTTTCTCTCTATCTTGATATTCTTGTTGTCTAAAAACTGTGTTAATTCTTTAATAATTAATTATCAGAGAAAGTTTCTTAATAATTGATTAGAATTTCAAAAGATTTGTAAAAACTCAATTCACCCCCCCCCCCTCTCTTAGGAAAGTTATGTCATTAACATTTTAATAACATTTTCACCTCTACTCCATGTCACCACTACAAGTCAAACTCTTGCTCATGTTTGTCATCAGTTGTTCGTCGCACCATTGTGTTCGTTGCTGCACTTGGGATGCTTGTCATTCGTTTGTCGCACCACTATATCACCATGTTTGTTATGCCACAGTGTTTGTTGCACCACCGCGATTTAGTCATGTCATAGCGTTTGCCATATTTCAGTCATGTTATAGGATTTGTCGTGTCACCGCGCCACTGCGCTTCAATCCCGCAACTAGCATTGTTTGTGTCACCACGCCACTGTGTTTCAATCTAGTAATTCAGTCGTGCCTATTAGAAAAATAAAATAAAAAATTGGGTTAGTGAGTCAATATACGTAACCCACTAACTCGTAGTGAGTTGAGCCGGGCTATAAAATCTTTAGCTCGCCATAAAGTAGGTCAGGTTAACTCACTTTGACACCCATAGTTGTCTTGCACAGTAGTTCGTTTTTATTTTCAGCAATATACATGACTAATCTTTCCCAGATGTCGTTACCTCTTCCAATTGCTTCAACAACAACATCCAATTTGATATTTGAATTATCAAATTGGGTTTTCATGACATTTATCATCAATTTTTTTTTTAGCCTCGAGAAGAGGATGTACCACTGAATGAAATAGATGAAGTCGGTGCTGGAGTATGTGAATCAACATATGAGGGTGATTGAGGAAGGAAATGCAACCTCCTCAGATATATATACTTCATGTCATTGTTCAAATCTACTCTGTAAGTTTATCTTTAAATGCGTTGATGAATTTGATGTGTCGTACTTACACGTGTGGCTAGCGGTATGATCAGCAATCCATGGTTCCTCCATCAAATCATAATATTTGATGGGGTGACTTTTCACTTAACAACAAAGGATTTTGCCTATGAAGAACACACATAATATATAAAAGATTATAAATGTTTGAATGTTATACTATTCAACTATTTATTTTATATTATTATAATATTAGAAAAATGACAAATAGTAATAAAAATATTATATCCTTTTGTGGCACACTAAACACATTGTAGCATTGAATACCTTGTAATATTTCGTTATATCGTTGTTTTAATTCCTTGCATTGTTTTTGCAACCAGTTGCACCTTTCTATTGGGCCTGTCCAAAAAACTCATTGGCCCATCTCTTCAGCTTTCTGATCGTTACACTTCAGTTGTCGTGACGAAACGTTAAACTTTTCTTAGTCAAAACTTGATGTTCTTTATTTAGGTTAAACTTTATTGTAACTATTAAAAATAAAGTTATGTTCTTTTTAATTAAAATTATTTGAATTTTATATATTTTATCATCGAGATAAACTTATTATGTTAAATCTTTTTTCTAAATTAAAATCTTACCAAGTTAAAATATTAATAATTTTAAGCAAATGTTTTATAATTATTATTGTCAATTTTTTGTATTTTGATTAAAAAAATTATAATAATGTTTAAAATGTATTAAATTAATTAATTTCATTTTAATCATAAAATATATGATATAAGTTATGACAATTTGTTATTTAATATTTCTAAATAAAAGTTTAAGTAATAATTAATATAAATATTTAATTTTAATATCAAATTAAGATGAATAAGGGCAATTAAAGATAGACAATGAATTAATTAGACATGATATCTTCTGTGACTTTATGATGCATGTTCAGAAAATATGTAACCTTAAATCTAAATTCTAGAAGTATTTTTCTAAAGAAATATTTTATATAATGATAACAAAAAATTAATAATTTCAAATAAATTGAATTAAGTTTATATTTTTACCAATTTTTGTTTTAGGATACATAAGACATAATAATTCAAAAATATTAAATTTAAATAAAAAATAAATTTAAAACTATTGACTCACAAATATTATATATTAAATAATTAAATAATAATGATTTTTTTATTATATTTAAATATACTTTTGAGATATATAGTAATATTATTTTTTATTAATTATTTACATAAATAATATTTTTTCCTATATAAATTAAAAATAATATATATATATAACAACTTTTATATCATTTTTTATTATTAAACAATCTAAACACTTTTTTCACTTTTTTTTGTTAATCAATTTCTACTATTTATTTTATCTGCAAACGAACAGGACTTTACATATAACACCTAAAAAAATTATACAATATTTTAGTAAAGTTTATCAATCATATAAAAGTTCGTAGTTTTTATAATAATTTATGCTTTGAGTCTTCTTACTGATGAGTGTTATATAAATCTTTTAAAAAATATTATTATGTTTTCGTTATGACCGGAAAATCAAATTTTCAACGTCAAAATTTAGTATAATCATTTTTTAGTTTTACATTTAAAATTATTTAATAGGACTATTCATTAATATGGATTCATTATCAAAGTCAATCAAACCAAACTAATTAATTGGAATATTTAGCCATATAGATTAAACTAGTTAAATTCAATAAAAACAACCAAATCAATCATTTTAATTTCCTATTATTAATTATTAATTTTTGCATAAAATTGTAAGTATATTTACATTTCATTTTTATTTTTTTATGTAAACCAGTAAAAAAATTGTTTTTAGCATTTAATAACAAGATAATGTACTTTTTTTATTTTTCTTAAAATATGATTAATTGAACTAATTTGTTTTAATTGGATTAGTTTCATTCAAATTATGATAACCAATTTAAGCAATAAAAAATAATTATTTTGGATTTAATATAAACTGAACCAAAATCAATTAATATTCAATACTCTTTATTATTTGTATTATTTTCTATTAATTTAAATAATTTATATTTTATTGTATTAGTTTTCATGAGAATTAACAAAAGGTTGAAGACAGAACATCTTATATAAACTGCTATGATGTAAAAAGAGTCCGTTTATTATTACTAAACATGACTTTTAAAAAATGAATGAATATAATTAGTAGTAACCTAAATGTGATAAATAATTAAAAAAATGAAAGAAAAATTGAAAGGAATAGAAAAAGAAGGTAGCAATCACGTCATTTATTGGAAAATTGAATGGTAAGGGTACTTTTTCAAACTTTGTTGTTTGTATTGGTGTAGTACAAAGGGTTGTATCAAAAGTCCCACGATGAGTCATGTTGTTGATGCAGTAAGATGATTGAAACTTGTGAATAACGAATTGAACACATGCACACGGCCTAACCTCAAATGCTGAAACACATTTGAATCAACCTTGTATCACTCATCATCACTTATAATTATTCATCAACGTCGTCTCAATCAATCAATCATACATAGCTCCTCTACGTGTTTCCTTCTCAATCATCCACATTCAATTCCTACATTCTAAAACATTTTCACACCATTCATTGGAAGCTAGAGTCCACAATATATTGTTATGCTCTCTTTGGTTTCAGTAATGTCCTGCACACCAAACAATGAATGTGGATGTTAGTTTTAAACCATAACTGAGGATTCCAAACTTTTTCAGGCTGATAATATGAGAGAAAAAATATGTCATTTTTTGCAGTTTTTCGTAATTAATCTTTTTATGATCTTCGTTATAATTATTGATAACCGATTCTTTTTATCTTCATAATGATTCTCCCTAGATATAGGTAGAGTGAAGTAAGAATAGTTTCTTCTTCTATCTAAATTATCAATAATAAAGGGGAATATTATTTGTTATTGAAAATCGATTTTATATTATGTAATTATTATCGACAATAATCGGTTTTTTATATTATTATTATTATTATATGTGAAAATCATCCTAATGTTCATTAATAATAATAATAATAATAATAATATTTTTTTAAATTATTATATTAATATTAATACTAATAATTATTTTAATAATAAAAAATAATAATTACAATCATAAAATATTATTATTATTATTATAATCATCATATTAATAATTAAAATAAAAATAATTTATATAATTATAAAATGTTAAATAATAATAATAATAGTAAAATAATTATAATTAAATAATTATAATATTTAAATTGTAATAATAATATTTTTATAAAAAAATAATTTGATCATCTTATAATTTTTTTATTAAAATATTTTTATCATTTATATCAATCAAATTTTTCATGAATTTTTTACTCATTTTTCTATATTTCTTATCATCTTTTTCATAATTTAAACAACCTCATCTTCTAATTTCTTTCTTCAAATCTTTCACTCTGTCGAATTCATTTTTTAATTCAAAGAAAAAGTTAATGAACTTTCGTGTAAGTTTTCCCATTTTTTTTTTTTTTAGATGATATTGTTAATTTGTGATAACCCTGATTGTCAAAAGCATATATCCTATAATAAATATGATGAAAAAGATTTTATCATTTCTAATCCACCACTTGTTTTTACTCAAATAATAACTCATTACATTATGTGAAAATAATTAATAAAATAAAAATAATTCTCTAATTCTTATTTTTAATATATATATATATATATATATATATAATTTATTTATTTATAAACTATATCAATATATTAGCTGTATATTTTTCTTTCATGTTAATAATTAAATATTTATTAAAGTTAATTACACATCCTTAGTTTTACAGTAAAAAAATTATCCTTAAAATAAAAACATCACTTTTAAATTTAATCCTTAACATTATGTAGCATCAAAATAAAAAAATTAAATTATTTGAAGAGATAATATATTATTACTATTGTCACCTAAAAAAATCTTAATTTTCATAAAATAAATGTTATCCATTTATCTTAAAATTAATATTATGAATTAAATACTGTGATTAAAATTTTTGAAGGAATAAAGATAATATATATATATATATATATATATATATATATATATACTAAATAAAAATTCACATATTTTACAAGATTAAAGAAAATTATTTCAAACTTTATAAAGATGAAAAAATTATAAAATCGAAGATTAAAATATTGTAATATTTTAGTAATTAAAACATAAATAAAGATTACAGTTTTTTTACCTAAAATGAAATTAACGTGGACAATGGAAAGAGCACGTGGTTTGCACAGAATTTAATGCTTATGTCCTTCTTGTTTTCAGAAAATGTCCGTTAGCCATGAAAAAAACAAATAACCTCTGCCAGTAGCAATTATTATTAGAAATGGATTTTTAACTTAACAAAATCGATTTTTAATTCATCAAACCTTATTTATAAAAAGAAAATATGAAATTTGATCGTAAAGAAAGATTTTTCATCAAACAAGAAAAAAAAAATTCATCCTCCACCGTAAAATGAAACATATAACAATTAGGTTTCACATGGTGTTGTTATGAACAGAGATTTTACATTCTTGGGAAAACAACGTTTTTTTTTTTTTCATGGACACATGAACACAATATCTACTAGTTTTTTTATTTAAAAAAATTAAAACATTGTCATCACGATCGAGTGTTGACCGAGTCGGGTTTTGAGTTGCAGAGTGGCATTGATGAAAAACTGGATTAGTTTGCATGAAGTGGTGGGCCAAGTGGCCCAATTCTCAAATGACCATTTTGGGTCCTTGTCTCGTGGGCCACATAGTAGCAAGAATCGATGGTGCCACAATGTCCTTCTTCTCGTATACGGATTTGCATACGCAACCATATGATCCCCATAAAAATATTTGTGGAAGCGCATTATTGAATCATTGGAGTGTGCGCCTCCATATCAGGGATGATCCGTTTTAGAGAATAACTGTTAATATATGCACACACGCAACTTCTCTCGCTCACAATTTCAGTCTTCAATCATTTGGGTGTTCCACTTTCATCTTCTTTCTGCGTGTGGCTTTGTCTGTTAGGGAAACGTTGGTCCTGCATTCTCTCTTTTCTCAGATGTCAAACCTACAAACTCATCCATGAAAAATCAGTGAACTTCAACAAAACACGTCCCTCAACATGCTTCACTGCTTTCCTATTATCATCTTATATTTAATATATCGATGGAATAATGTCCTCCAGCACAGGAACTACTTCATCTCAAACAACTGCTACTGCTTAATTATGTTTATGCATGTGTTTCAACATCTCAATGTTTGAATCCAAACCAGATATAATGCTTAAAATCTCTCCTCTCAATTACTCATCTTTCAACTTTCTCTTACTCATATAACATTTTCTCAATTTTTAACATTATTTCTTAGTTTATATCTGACGTTTAATTCTTTACGTAACATAGAAATTATGAGAAAAAAAAACATTTCATTCAAAAAACTTTCTTTATAAGAATCGAACTCGTAATAATATATTACAAAACCATATATATATATATATATATATATATATATATATATATATATATATATATATATATTGTAGGAATTGTAGGAATGTAATACAAAGAAATTTAAAACGATCCAGCATATATATCAAATTATCACTATGGTAAATAACTTTTTGACAATTGTAAAAAATGTTATAATATTCTAGTTATAGTTTACGATTGTATTTAAAATACAATAATCATGTGTCTAAATTTTTATTTTGTTCAAATCTAGAAGTTTTACGACAATAAATAAATAAATTTAACAACATAGTTAGAAGTTCATACATAATATTATTTCCTCATTGTTATTTTTTTTAATAGAAGCTTTCATTATTTTTTTATTGTTTCTTTGCAATAAATTTAGAAATTTTCATGATTTTCTCCTTATTATTATTTTTTACTCAACTTTAACACATCTAACAAAACATTATTTTCTATCATCATTTTAGTAAAATATCATCCTTTGTCTCTATCTCAACAAAACATTATTTTTCATTTTTGTTTTTTTATAACAACTGAGTGTATTATAAATATTTATCGCGAAAAGAAACAATATGAGAAAGAGAAAAAGAAAAAAAGGAAACAAAAAAAGTAAAAAATACGAAGATGAAATAAATAATAGATGAAATTAAAAATTCTAATTAATGATTATTTTATATCTATCATTATATGTCAATGACGTTAAAATGTTAAACATATAAATACAACTATAAATATAACCATAATTTATGTAAATATTTTTAAATAATTCATTTATTGATATATACTATTTTATTTATAACCATTTGTAGTACTATCATTATAAATAAATAATCATTAAAAAATTTAAAGTTATCTTTTTTAATGATTCAACAGTATCGTATTTTGTAACATATACATGTATGGTAACATGAAATAAGGGACACCAGATATCTTGAGAAGCTGAGGCATTGATATCCATAAATAATTATCAGGAATTTAAGCACCCATTGGTTTTGTATTTTTGCGATTATTACTAGCTGACATTTATATATATATATATATATATATATATATATATATATATATGTATGAATATATATTCATGGTGTAGAATGTTTTGTTGCATGCAAAGTAAAACTCATCAAAACAACTACGAATAAGACAAAGAACACAGAGTCAAATAATGATGTAGGTTATACACGGGGAGAAATTATGGTTGCAATTGATTTGTTGCAGGTGTACGTGCCACATGCAAGTAAGAAAATCATGAAAAGGAATAAGAAGTGAATAGTGAATATCTTCAACGTTACAAAAGTGGTTCCAGAGGGTTGTGAGTTGCAGCCACTGAATAAGACAATGTCACTTTGCTTTGCGTGGCTACCATGCTCATAACATCTTGCATCACAGCTACACCTCCTGCCAAAAAAATGACCTTCACCAACTTACCAACTTTTTTGTTAAATCATTATGAAAATGTAAATCCAATACTTAACGTGTTACAAGAAGATGGTTCTTTTTTATATATCTAATTCAATCTTATTGACACTTAAAAATTATGCAGATTGTACTTATTTATGCACTGAATTGTTATTGTATTTTTAGTAAATATAAAATTTGTTACACCTCTTGTTTCGTGACAATTTTTCATTAATCCTGCTATCTAAAGAGAGATTTAGATAGGTACTATCACTTATAATACTTTTTGTTTCGTGTTTATTATCTTCTCATTTCTGATCAAATATCATACGATTAAAGTTGGTAATGAAAGATAAGATTTGTATTTATCTTATGAGTTGATAATTTTATCATGGACATTTTCATCCACACAGATCTATACTTTGACGTACAGAGACTAATAACCTTTGCGCAGTGACTGAAATCACATTTTGTCGTGTAGTAAACTAAATTTAAATTCATTCAAACAAACACAGTGGTTTCTATAAATAAAATATCTCATATATACATATTAATGAATTTAAAATTAAGATTTATTATGCTATACAAAGATTTCAATACTAATATTGAATGGTTTTGTTCCAATTACCTTTCAATTTAACTCTAATATTATTGATTTTTCACTTAAGTAATAAATAAGTTATGTTAATCTCTATATTTTTTTTAAATATATTTAAATTGGTATATAAATAAATTATTTCTGCATCCCCATTCAAAAAGAAACTATAAGAAATATTGAAAGAAAACTATGCATACATCATCGTATTAAGTGAACACTAAAGAAAAAAAGAGAGTAATATATATATATATATATATATATATATATATATATATATATATATATATATATATTTTTGGTAAAATAATGTGACATCTAGTAATAGAGAGATAAAGAAAGATAGTATATGTTAATGTAAGTTTCGTAACATTTATATTCAACGTATATAGTTATTCAAAATTATGTTATCCATCTAATTTATTTATTTATTCATATTTTTATACTTATTATAGTTATATAATTTTATGTATAAAAGAATATAAAGATGATTTTATTTATATTAATAGATTTATCTGTTAATATGAATATTATTTCTTAACATTGTTATGGTAAAAAATACAAAACGAAATTACACCTTTTTATTGTGAGTGTCCCATAATCTATTATGATAATAAAAAAATACTTCTTCTTTTTTTTAATTGCTTTAGTGATAAAATTAATTACGTGGAAACATAATCAGAGATATATGTTTTTATTTATTTGTTTGTGCTTTTGTGAAGAAAGTTAATTCCTTTTCATATCTCCTTCTTTCTTCTTTTTTTCTTTATACATATACTCATTCAAATAACTATTATAATCTAATCCATTAAAATAAACGAATTTTACTAACTACTTATTATGGTAAAAACAAAAACATTACGATTAATTAAATTTATAAGTTTTTTTATTTTTCTTTTCGTTTATAATTTTTAAACCACCGTGAAAGAAAAATAAAAGTGTTTCACTACTTTTTTGTTTTAGTCTGAGTTTGATGTTTATGAATACTTTGTAAATAACCACTTCTCTTTTAAAAATTAATAACATTTTTGTTTTTAGTTTTTCAAAATAATAAATGTAAAAAACTTCTCATGAAATTAGCTGCTTTTTTTTAAAAGTAATTTTTATGATGGTGAATAAATAGAAAATAATTTATTCTTTTTTAAAAACGTAAAAAAAAATATTGAATCCATATTTTATTATATAACAGGACTATTTTTTATATTAATATGTATTATGATAACAACACATAATAACGTATTATTTCATTTAATATTGAATATTTGACAAAGAAAAAAATACTAATTTGTTTTATACAATAATCACTTTGTTTTCAATTCATAAAGAATTGACCCATAAACTACCTTTTTGGATGAAACATATATAAAACGTTTTATTTTGAAAAAGGATAATCAGAAATTAATTTTTCTTTCCTGTGAGTAATGAAATTTTAGTTTAATAAGAAATATTTTTAGACAAAATAATTGCGTTTTCGAACTTTTGGGGGACAAAAATTCGCAGTTGTTGGATTCAGATCTGTCAAATATCTTATCCGGACCCTCAAAACCACCACACAGGTTTGGGATCAAAACATGGGCCCAGCTACAGAGAAAGACAATTTTTTAAATTGTTCAACCAATTTTTTAGATTATGACATTTACATTATCTATTATGTGGTTCACATTTTTATTCACATAAGATTTTTAGTTTAATCACAATTTTTTTTTAAATCTCTATCTAATCCACTAGTTAATTACATTGGCCACACAAGATAAATTATATAGAGAGAGGTGCATGTTATGGGATCATCTATTATTACTTTTTATGTTATTCTGATTTGATAATGTTCATGGATAAATAAATCATTCTACCAGTCAAACAATAATATATAAAATAATTTTTTAAAATAAAGTTTATCATACTAAAATAAATATTCTTTTTATTCTAAAATTCATCAAAATAAATATACCATGTTATTCGTATTTGTAATAACTATAGTATATCAAGACTTATATCACCTTCAAGATTAATTAATATTTTATCGACATTAATCTAGTTTGACTGAGACAAAAAATAGGATTAATGATTATATTTTGTGAAGGACTGAGTTTAAACAATATTAAATAATTTAATCTTAGTTTAAGTACACTGATAACTTGTGTTGAACTTGTCAATTAAATATTTGTCATATTATCACATGTTTTGTCTTTTTAATAAAACAAATACATAAAGGACAAACAAATTAAACTTGACATGAGATTGATTGAGTTATGAAAAAAAAAAATGAGAGAAAAGTCCACACAAGATAATCAACATACACAATGAAAAAAGATGAGAGGATAATACAATCAAGATAATCAACGTGATAAAAAAAAAACCGTATGATAGTTTTAAATATAAAGATTTTAATTAAATTGAAATAAAATAAAAAATTGATATAAAATCGATAAAATAAGAAAAATTAATTGATTTTTGAATCAAATTGGTTTCAATAAAAAAAAAGTTAAAGGTAATTTTTTTATAAAAAATATTATAGTTTTTTTTATATAATTTTAAATTATAGTTATTTTTTATTTTTATTTTATTTTAATAATTATTTATTTTATACTTTTTAATATATTATATTTATAGTTTTTATCATATGATAATAATTTTTATTATCTTCTTTTATAGAAACATATTATTATTAATAAATTTATATTATTTTATTAAATCCGAATTCAACATTCAACTTTTAAACTTTAAATTAATATTTTTAAGGATTTATTTCTCGATGTAGTTTTAAAAAGAAAACGAGGATAAAAAAAGTTTAAAAAAAATCAAATAATCTTAAAAGACCAATAATAATCAATTAAAAAATTTATTAAAATAATAAATAAATCTATTTGATTTTACACTCCTTTTTTTGGTTTCTTAATCTAAATAATTTTATTTTTTAATTTTTTTCACTATCTTAAATTTACTGTTTAATTTAAATATAAATAAATAGAATTCTTCACTTCATTGAAAAATAAAATAATAGAGAAAAAAAATGATTATATCCATATCTTTATTTATTAGTTTTCTTAAAAATATAATAAGATGTATTTAATATCATATTTAACTTAAAATATAAAAATACTATATTTAAGAATTGGTCATATATTATATTTCTGATAATTATATTTAAATTTTATGAAGAAAAAAATTAGAAATTGGCGGAGCATTAATGTAATTATATTAGTTTGCTTCTACTTAATTAGTATATAAAAGCAGGAAAGTTTTCTAATATTATATCTATATCATCAATTTTCTTTTTTACATGATGTATATATTTATATTTTGGTAGGTATTTTTAGGAGACTAATAATAAAAAAAATTATTATAAATAAGATATAAGTTAACTATATAAATCAATTATATAAAAGAATATCACATTATCATTAATTCAAAGTCTTTAAGTTATAGTTTTTTTTCATTTATGAATTATTTAATTTTTTATTTTTTATGATAGGACTTCAACTTCTCAACTCTACTAAGTTTGGGAGACAACATTGTGACATGTGAATGGTAAGATGAACAATGTGACTTTTTTATGTGGCAAATTCAGTATGTACGATATGTATTTTTAATTTTTACTTTTTTTTCTCCAATTTAACTTATATTAATTTTTTAATATCTACATTCATTTATTGAAAAATATTTGATTTTCCCTTAGTCTAGTTTAATTATTGAAGCACATATAATAGTTTTTTCAAGCATACAAATTTGTTCCTTTTTCTCGAGAGTTACAAATTAAGAAGTCGCACTAATAAGCATATTCGCCTTTTAGAAAAAAGGCATATATAATTTTTATTTTCTACTATTAGACTTGAATATTTTAAGTTCAGTAAAATTAAGCGAATTTTAATTTTACTTTCTATAAAATGGTTTTTTACTATATATTTTTCATCCCTTCAAAATTAAAAACTAGCGTGCGTAATCTATATAATTATATAAAACACTTGTTGAACGGTAAGTGTTGAATAGAAAGTTAAGTAATCATCTTAAATGCACCTACTAATGTTTGTGATATAGTTTTTTATTTTTTTTAATTCATAATAAATTTTAAAAAATGTTAGGACCAAAACTAATGGTTGTAAGTTTTAAAGGGATATATATATCAAACATGTTTATTAACATAATTCCGAAAAATAAAATAAAATAAAAAACTAAAAACTCGATTTTCTGATATATCAAGAGAACGTGTACCAAACGCTACTCTATTCATGATTTTGAATACAACTTGTTTAACAACAAAACAAATCCTAATTTCAACACCAATGCTTGATTAATTAAAGAATGTAAAATATAAAATCAATCCCATAAATTAAAAAAGGAAAATAAATTCATCTACTATATATATAGAGTTATATATATTTTTTCTCTTATTGTCATTCTTTTTTATGTGTCTTTGTTTAGTATTATTTTCTTCTTCTTCTTTTTCTCTTATTCCATCTTATTCTTTAATTAAAAATAGTATATTAAAAATGGATAGAGTGAATCTTTTATTATTACTGAAAAATAAAATATTTAAATGATCCAGAAATACTATAATTCAATATATTATATTTGAAAAATATTATATGATAAATTTAAAATGTTATAAATATTATTGTTATGTTATAATTATTAAGAAAAAAATTAAATATATATTTTAAAGAAATTTTTTAATAAATATTTTTTAAAATTACCTAATCTAACTAATTATCATAACTCAACCTGATTATAAATAGATTAAATTATTAAATAAAGAATACATTTAACTTATAAGTATTTGATATTTTTTAATTAAATAAGTAATTATTTATTATTATAAAATAATTATTTATTGTCAAAATAAATAAAATTATTCATATAATCATAATTTTAAATAACTAGTTAATATTTTTTTAGTCTCAGTGTTGATTTTAAAATATTTGTTTTAACCTATTTTTATTGAATTTTAATATAGTAGTTTAAGTAAAAGAATGAGTGGGAGAGGAGAGAAAAGAGATATAAAATAGAATGGAGAAAAATAAGAAATAAAAAAAAATTATAAGTAGAGAAAAGAAAAACTACATATATATAATATTAAAAAAATCTATTTAGATAGATAAATAGATAACAATTTTATTTATATAATTTTTCTTTTAAAATATATTATTATGTAATGTGTTTGAGAAACCCATCAGAAAAAGCTCAAGATTATGACACAAGAATTGTGATCAAGTGGTTTGGTGTTACGCAAATAATGAGCCATAAAGTGAGACGTGTCTGGTTGAAAAGTTACGAAAGCGTAATCATCAGATTCTCAAGTTGAGCTTCCAATTATGTGATTATCATGGAAACAACATGCAAATTCATAGCTGTTATCTAGAACTGAGAAAAATGCAGCAGAGGTCAATTTTGGCCCCGGCAAACGTTAAAACATCACACGTCCCTTTCACCACTGTGAAGCACTGTAAGGATCAGACACACTTCATGAGCTTATCACACCAAAGTATTTCTCTTTCTTCATTCAGAATACGAGAATGTGCACATAGTTACAAAAAGCTCAAGAGCATTGTGAGTGAATTTTCAAAAGAAAAACGGAAAAAAAGCTAAGATAACCCCTTGATTTTATTTTTCAAAAAAAGAGCATCCACAAACCAGAATAATGCAATATAATGGATGCAGACCAACAGTGCAGGTAGCACACGCACACTTGCAAACGAAAAGCATAAAAACAAAACCCTTTTTGAAACTCGACCAAAAAAAAGTTGTGGCTGAGATTCATTCTCCCTTTTTCTTCACAGCACTTCCAAAAAGGGAACATCACATAAACCATTCCATACTCACACCCTTATATGTAGCTCAATTGCTTCACCTTGCTCCTTCAGATTCAACTCAAAGCAGAATTTCCATAACCCCTTCTATTTTACACCTTGTTTCTATTTTACACCTTGTCGTCTCATCTTTTATGAATTATATTTTAATTCCATGCACGTTAGTTAATGTTATAGAAATAGCTACCTAGCACTGATTCACAAAAGGGTACGTTGGTACATAGTTTTTGCTAACATATAATTGGAGTTTCCAATTTCACGTAACATAGAGTGTTAATTTGAGATTGATGCTTGCGGTGGCACCTTTGAGGAGCATCAAAGATGAAAAGAACAAAGGAGAGATGGAAGGTTTCTCGATGGCAACAGCAACAACATCAGATGATGTTGACTTTGGTGACCTTTCTGAAGGGGGCCTGTTGGAGAGCATCAACTTTGACGACCTCTTCGTCGGCATCGACATTGATGGAGATGTCTTGCCGGATTTGCAGATGTTCGGTGAGTTCTCTGTCAGTGCCCGAGAAGAGTCATCGGAAATGAACTCATCATCGGCGAATAGCAAGGTGGAAAATGATAAAAAATGTGTTACTACTGCTTCAAAGAAGGAAGAGGAAAATAAAACTTCTTGTGCTGCTTCAGATCAAGACTTGGGGTCAAACCGAAGAGAGGAGATAGTGAGCAAGAGTGGTGAATCCGTGGTGGTGAATCCGCCTGCAAAGGAAGGTGGAAAAGGAAAAAAATCTACATCAGGTCAACCGAAGAGTAATAGTAGCAGTAATAATTCTCAGGGGAAGAGAAAAGTGAAGGTAGCAAGATAGTTTATACTTCGAACTTATTTTCTAGCAAAGTGCTTTTATTTTTCTTTTCTTTTCTATTTAGGGAACTAGTTTCAGCCGAAACTAGCTTGTTCATGTCACGAGACATGAGTCATGAGCAACTGAGAACACTTAAGGTTCTGTCACTGTCTCAATTATGGGTCTCGACAAGGTTTCATTTAGTGTCAAAAGAACTCACGGGTAGCCTAGTGTGTCAAGAGAGAGAAATTGAAAGTACTAACCTTAGCTAGAAAAGAAAGAAACTTAGATTAATTCTACAAGCTTTTATTGCCCTTCTTAGATTAGATCAGAATTGGGGGTGTTATCTGGATTCTATGTTAACTTTATATACAAAATTTTATCACATAGATTATATAAGAATAAAATTCCATTTCAAATTAAAATATGAAAGAAAAAAATAAACTTCATCTAATTAAGTTAGTTTTTTATTTGAAGTAGTCATATGGGACAGTGGTCATATGTGTGCATTTATGTTCTCTTTTCTGGTTATGTGCAGGTGGATTGGACCCCAGAATTGCATAGGCGATTTGTGCAAGCTGTGGAACAGCTAGGAGTGGATAAAGCAGTGCCTTCCAGGATTTTGGAGATTATGGGAATTGATTGTCTCACTCGCCATAATATTGCTAGTCACCTTCAAGTACGTCCTCCAACTTCTTCCCTCCTTCTGTACTATTTTTTTTTTTTTTCAATCTTTATGTGAATCAATTTCAAGATGCAGTTAATTAAGTTTAGAGTTCATTCCAAACTTTTCCGGTCGATTTGATCAGTCATTTCAACGATGCTTAATTATTACACCTCTTTATGGAATAAATTTGAATTTAAAATTTGAACTTTATACTACGTAAACATCCGGTACATAAACTTTTATATATACACTATCAATCATTGAGAATTCACAGAAAAAGAACGAAAACAGTAACCTTTCCTCATGCCAGAGTTGCTTCTCCAATGCTTGATAATTTTGTAATAATAGTAGAAAGAAACTCTTCTGGTTTTCTCTTTCTACGCATGCTTGAAGGAAAACAAATAAAAGAGTATACTTTGTTTCCATTGAACAATACAACCTTTCATTAAAAAGAAAGGTCTCTAATCAAAAGTTGTAGCTGAATAAATATTACGTTAACTAATATACATCTTTTTCTTTATTAAGAATTGAACCATAATCATTTCACACACGTTACTTTAGTTTGTTACATGTAGTGTTCAAAATTTGCTTGGATTTTTTTGTTTGTCCTCTAGTTCCACGCATTGGATGCCTAGATTGGAATCAATCATAATAATTCAAAAGCAGCATTTGAGGGGAGGGTTTTATATATGGATCTTTGTATTTGAGTGCAGAAATATAGATCTCATAGGAAACACTTGCTGGCTCGTGAGGCTGAAGCAGCAAGTTGGAGTCAAAGGAGGCACTTCTATGGTGGTGGTGGAAGTGGAGGGAAGAGAGAGAGTAGTCCATGGCTAGCACCCACCATGGGATTCCCTCCTCCAATGGCCACAATGCACCATTTTAGACCTCTACACGTGTGGGGGCACCCCTTCACGGACCAGTCCTTCGTGCGCATGAGGCCTAAACATCTTCCACCTTCACCACCACTTTCGTGGCCACCAGCTGCAGCACCCCACGACCCTTCGTTTTGGCATCAACGGGTTAACTCTCTAATCTTTCTTCTCCAATCAAACCCTTGTTGATTCCTTTTTTCTTACCAACATATAGTAAGTGTTCAAAATTTGAACTACATGTCAATAATTATCAGGCACATGCGAAACAGTACAAAGTAGTTTTACTTTATCACATAATGATATTAAAATCATAGTATATATCATTACAAAAGTTAATAAAGGTATATACAATGGTTTATAATTTGTGAACGATTTCAGTTTGTTTTATATTGTTAATTAATGCATAACATATTTTCGATTCCAAAAAAAAAAATGTTAACAAATATTTTTATTTCTATAAATTGGTTTTCCTTTCTATTTTTTAACTAAACAATAATACATTAATTATTAATTATCCATCTTTTCTTTTCCTTATCTTTTTCTTTTTCAAGCATGTCATAAAATTGAAACCACTTCTCTCCTGTTTCCTTGCTACCCCTTTGATTAAAAAAATATATTAACACAAGCTTTTAAGTTTGATTTATAGATATTAAAAAGGAAAATATATTAATCCAAAAATAAATATTTATTTTGGACAACTTTCATTTTTAATTATTTATTTATCATTTCCAAAATCCAACATCACATTAATTACTACTTTATCAATTATGTATCTTTTAATTTTTAAATATTCTACATACTTTATCAACTATATCATTATGTATCTTCTAATTTTTAAATATGTTATGTATACATGTATTATATTCTAAGGAGAAAGAAGGGTTAAAATAATAAATTGTATAATTGTTTTATTAGAATAAAAAATATTCTATTTTTGTTAATTCTTATAAAACAATCTTAAAACATAAATAAAAATAAAAAACTACTGTATGTCTTAGTTATTGAAAAAAATCTTAAAACATAAATAAAAAGGAAAAGGGGGAAATTGGTTTAAATCTTACTAAAATTTAAATGATCTGCTGGGGGTTTTTTTTTCTCATTTCGAATCTGTCTAATTAAAAAATGACACGTTACTAAAAACTATCCTTTTATAATTCTATTTAAGAAGAGTGGAAGAAGAAAAAAATTGATAAAAAAAATAATATTGAGTTTATACTATTGCAATTAGCCTATTATTCAACATATAAAAAAATAAAAAAACTGAAATTATCATTTATTATCAAATTATTATTATAAAATGGTATTATTCTTAATAATGCAGTCATACATATACATATTATAGTGTAGCTTTTCTTTTGTCGCAATAAACCAAAATTAAACCTAATTATAACTCACCTTTTCTTTCTTGTCTAGCTAAGATCTTACTTATATTCTATGAAACAGGCTCCAAATGCACTGATAACAGGAACAGCATGTTTTCCACGACCTCTGACACCAACGGTAACTACTCATTACATCCTTACTATTTTGGAACCATGCAAATTGTCTTCACCTTTCTTTGTTGGATCCTTTTACAGACATTACTACTACAGTGTAAAGTTATTCTCATATTTACTTGCAACCACAAACTCAAACTACACAGTATAAAATTATTGTCCCATTTTGTGGCAACCAAAACAAATAGCATATTGTTGTATAATTTTGGATCACCATACACAAAATACAAATCTCATGATCATGCAGGGTTTTGGAAGTCCCCTTGTCCCCGGCATCCCACCCCATGCCATGTACAAAGCAGATCACACCATTGCCATCCATACTCCCCGACCTCTATTCGATTTTCATCCTGTAAGTTTCGTTCTTTTTTTAGTTTCATGATTATGTATAAACGGTATAAAACAGTGTTACACTGTTAACCAGATATCATAATTGATATATATATTCTTTGCTTCTGCAAAATCACTTTTTTCCACAAACATACACACACGTATATCATTGTTCTAAATGGTCTCTGTGATTCTATCTATGAAATAAAAATGTTTTGTATTATGTTTTCATGCTTCAATCATTACATTTCTTTATTTTTCTCACCCTCTTGTTATTCACACGGGGGATGTATTTACAGTCAAAAGAGTGCATAGATGAAGCTATTGGAGATGTTTTATCAAAGCCATGGCTACCCTTACCTCTTGGACTGAAGGCTCCAGCACTTGATAGTGTGATGAGTGAATTGCAGAGACAAGGGATTCCAAACATTCCACCCTCTAGTGCTTGAATTTGAGCTCAGGGAGGGTGTTCTTCCTTTGGTGTTCTGTGAAGGCCATTTAACCCTAATTCGACGACTTCTCATACATTAGATGTTGCATTTCCTATATGTTACATCTAAGATACGATGTGAGCGCATTCATATATCTTTCTTCTTTTGCTTTCAACACATAAAGAAGAAAAAACTTTCGAGACACTTTTGTGATTTTCCTGAGCTATAATGCATGAGTTAGTGTCTTCTTCGTAGCGTGGTGATCATAGCCATTTTGTATATATAAATAAGTACTCACTTTAGGATCTCACCTGATTTCTTTTACATTATCACAACCCTGCATTTGAGAATAAAGTTAAATAGAAAACATAAAATAAAATTTTAAGTTTATCTCTCTTCCGCTTATCATAAAATATGAGTTGTGAAGAATAAAACTGAACAAGATAACGTGAGGAAAAAAACTACCCTTTTAAACTATAACAATAAAATAGTGGCGGGTTATTTGAAAAGAAAGAAAAAAAAAACAAAAAACAAAAGTGCATAAATATAAATTCTTTTAGAATTTTAAGATGCATTAAGAAATGTATAATTATGAACTACAAATTATTCATTGTATGGTATGATTATTTTGAATAAATATTGTAAAAAGGTTTTAATATAAGAAGTTTAAGGTATACATATAAATAAATAACTAAAAATATAAATTAAAGAAATAAATATGAAATTATAGAAAATAAAACAAATGTATATAATTTAAAAACTTGAAATTTGAAAAAAAAAGTATAATAATATTTTTATTCATTAAAGAAAAATAAACCAAGAGCATCTCTAATAACTATCTAGTTGCTTAAAAAAAGTACTTATATTTTGTAGTTTATAAATAACTATACAATATGATATAATTATGAACTACAAATTATTCATTGTATTGTATGATTATTTTGAATAAATATTGTAAAAAGGTTTTAATATAAGAAGTTTAAGGTATACATATAAATAAATAACTAAAAATATAAATTAAAGAAATAAATATGAAATTATAGAAAATAAAACAAATGTATATAATTTAAAAACTTGAAATTTGAAAAAAAAAGTATAATAATATTTTTATTCATTAAAGAAAAATAAACCAAGAGCATCTCTAATAACTATCTAGTTGCTTAAAAAAAGTACTTATATTTTGTAGTTTATAAATAACTATAAAATATGATATAATTATGAACTACAAATTATTCATTGTATTGTATGATTATTTTGAATAAATATTGTAAAAAGGTTTTAATATAAGAAGTTTAAGGTATACATATAAATAAATAACTAAAAATATAAATTAAAGAAATAAATATGAAATTATAGAAAATAAAACAAATGTATATAATTTAAAAACTTGAAATTTGAAAAAAAAGTATAATAATATTTTTATTCATTGAATAAAAATAAACCAAGAGCATCTCTAATAACTATCTAGTTGCTTAAAAAAAGTACTTATATTTTGTAGTTTATAAATAACTATACAAGATGATATAAGTGATGAGAAAAATTTCTTAAAATTATTGCTTAGAAAAAATTATCTCACAAACTTTTTGTCCAGATATTTTCAATTGTCAGAAATTATCTTTCAATTTTTTCTTTTTTATTTTTTCTTTTAATAATAAAAATTAAATTATTTATTTATTTTGTTATACTATATCTTTATGCTTGAAAATTTGAAAATATTTTTTTTAAATATTCATCATATCTGAAATTTTAAAGTTATTAAAATTATATTTTTATTATAAAATATTTCTATTCTAAAATACTAAAAATCAATGTATATAAAAATAATATTTATTTATATATTTAACTTTTTTTTATTATAATTGAAGTCTTTCTTGCTAAAACATATTTGTCAATGTTTTAAAATATAAAAATAACAAAAGTTAGTACATAATTGTTATTATAAATAATTTAGACTTTTTTAATTATATAATCTCTTTATTTTTAATAGATAATATTTTTTATGTAATAAAATTAATATGTGAATTTACTAATTAATTTTTTATATTAAAATATTACATTTAAATTATTTTAAAGTTTTTAAAAAATAAAAAGTATTATACAAATATAGATGTTTATAAAAATTATGATTGAAATAATTTTTAAAATTTAATATAAATTACTTAAAAAATAGATAGATATAATCCATCTATTTAAAGTGAAAATATGTATTTGGAAGCCACTATACAAGATATTATATAAGTACATAACATATATTTTATTTTTCATGTTTTGTGAATTAATAATTGAACCGTACTTTCTAGGATTAAAAATGAAAATATGTATTTGGAAGCCACTATACAAGATATTATATAAGTACATAACATATATTTTATTTTTCATGTTTTGTGGATTAATAATTGAGCCGTACTTTCTAGGATTAAAAACACAAGTACAACGAATATATATATATATATATATATTGAGTAGTTTATCTTAAATCTAATAATGGTGTAGCCACGTGAAGATCTTAGTTATCATAGATAAAGACACAGACATCATTTATAATTATGTCCATCTCAAATAAATTATTTATAATTAGATTACATTTCATCTAATAATTTTCTACAATTTGAGTAATCGATTTTATTTATGTTTTTAATAATATAACTATTATTCCATTATTTAATCATTATGTTTTTAAAATATTATGCACATTTAGAACAATGTTTCAGAAAACGAACTTATAATGTTGCAAATTATTCTACTTTCTTTTCAAAGGATTATTATTTATTAATTTTAATTACCCCTTTATACTATTCTTATTTGTTAGAGTAGTATGTAGTTCTTTGATTTCAAAGTGCTTTCTAATAATTTTTGAAATATGTTAAGTATAATAATGTACCTTAATTGCTATTCTTATTAAGTCAATTTTATATATTTATGACTAAGCCAAATTTTATAATATCTGCTACCAAGTTGGATTCTATAATCACAAAATATTGGACATTAAATAATGATTTCAATATAGTTGATTCTTTGTTATTTCAGTATATTTGAGGTTAAAAAAATTATAAATTAAAAAAAAATATGTGAACTCTTCAAATCAAATTTGGAACAATGAAAATAATTAAAAAATATATGAATAAACTTGTATAAATTAATTTAATTTAATTATTCTCTTAAAAGTGGTGTAAAGAGAGGGTAGGTAAGAATGGTGGTTGAAAAGGGTGGGTGGAGTGTCGGTGATAACGAATGAAGGTGTGGCGATAACTAGGAGTAAGTACAAACAGTGCATGTGTGTATTTGTTGGGTATGATTTATGAGAGAAGTGAGTTAGGGTTTTGTATTTAAGAACTCCATGTGGTTATAGTGACATCAAAAAGAACCAACTATTTGTATGGAATATTTATAAGATGCATAGTCTCATATGGACCCTACATCACATTTATCATCTTCGTTAAATGCATCATATACAGTGGAATTAAATTAAAAGAAACGAACTTAACTCGTGTGTTGTTGAGAATTGAATAATGGAACGTGGATTGACGAAGAATTTTAGGTTAGGTAAGAGAATAGAGAGCATGATGGTATATGGCAGGAGGGTGCAGTGGTTTAAAGGTTTGGTATTACATGAAAAAGGGTGGATGAAAGGAAGCCACACAAGAGAAAAAGCAGGAGACACAGAGTTGGTTGAAGTTGGAAGGAACGCAAAATCCAGTGTTTTGAAGATTTGCAAAATGGGTAACTGGGGACCAAATTCCCTACATTCAGCAATTTGGTTTTAGCAACGTTGCATCATACCTCAAATTAGTTAAATAACTCGATCGGCGCAAAAACTATCCAAAGAGCGATTTTAAAAAAATTACATTTAAAAAAACAAAACAAATGTAGTATGAAAAATAGTTCATCATTTAAAGACAAAGGTAAAGAGTTAGAAAGTATTTACCGTTTTCGTTTCGTGTTTTTTTGGTTCATGGTTCATGTTCACTTCTACAATCTCGTTTATTCTAACTTTTACTTCTATTTAGATTTCTTTATTAGTTTAGTTTCTCTTGGTATGACTTCATTTTTTTTTTCGAGTTTATTTACAGTATTTTATGATACTCAAGATAGTCTTATTAGATCTTTCACTATTATCTACAAAATATTACCTACGGATAAAAATTCATAGGTAAATTTTACATTACCTACAGATAATATCCGTAGGTAAATTATATTAAACTAAAAGAATTGTCACTATAGCAGAATCAAACCCAGCATCTTAAAGTCGAAACTGATACTCCAACCACTAAACTATTAGTGATATTCTAATAATAATTTACAAATAAATTATAGTTATATTTATTCATGTAAATATATAAATATATAAATATATAAATATATAAATACATAAATACATAAATACATAAATATAAATATATAAATATATCAAAATATAAATATATTTATATATTTTATATTTATATATATTTTATATTTATATATTTACACTGGATAAATATAAATATAATTTATTTGTAAGTTATTATCAAAATATCCTAATAGACTTAGTGGTTGGAGTATCGACCTCCAATTCCAGTGACTGGGTTTGAATCCTACCAATGACAATTCCATTAATCTAATAATAATTCAAAGTTTCAAAAATATAATAAATACTAAAAATATAATATAAAGGGGAGGGGGTTGTAGTAAATAAAAATATTTTGTTTAGGTGAGTGCATTATTATAATCCGTAGGTAAATTACCTACGACTTTGTCATTACCTACGGATTTTACCCGTAGATAATAAGCGTTCTTTTTGTAGTGTTTATAAAATAATATTTTTGTAAATGAATAATTTTAATTTTACAAGTAGAATATAAAAAAGGGAATAGTAGATGTTTACTCGATGTATTAATTTGTAAAATTGTCAACCAACCAAAGTATGTATACTAAAATTTTTAAATCAATTTTCATTATTGATTAAGAATAAAGACATATTAGATGTATAATTATATATTATTTATATGGCATAAAAAGTTTAAAGTTATTATTCATTT